TATTAAACAACTTCACTGAAAGGGTGGCGAGGAAATAAGGTACTGACCTAAGTAACTCTGAAAATGAGTGGAGCCTGTAAAACTGAAGGCAACAGGAACTGCACATCCACACTGTACTCCAGCTGATAAGTTGCCTCCCACAGAGGATAAGGTGGAGCAATTCTAAAAACTCTGATACAAGTTTACTAAATTAAATAATTAAGTAAATGTATGGTGAATGGTGAGAGTCAGGTTTGTCACAGGTGGAGTGGGATATAAGCAAGAGAAGGAAACCAGAACAGGGGTACCCAACCCCCACGCTGCAGACCAGTACCAGTCCATGATCCGTTAGGACCCAGGCCACACAGCAGGAAGTGAGCGGCAGGTGAGCGAGCGAAGCTTCACCTGTATTTACAGCTGCTCCTCATCACTCACATTACCACCTGAGCTCTGCCTCCTATCAGATCAGTGGCTGCAACAGATTCTCATAGAAACACAAACCCTCCTGTGAACTGCACGTGAGAGGGATCTAGGTTGTGCGCTCCTCATGAGAATCTAATGCCTGATGATCTGTCACTGTCTCGCATCACACCCAGATGGGACTGCCTAGCTGTAGGAAAACAAGTTCAGGGATCCCACTGATTCTACATCATGGTGAGTTGTATGAACATTTCATTATATATTACAATGTAATAATAACAAAAATAAAGTGCACAATAAACATAATGCACTTGAATCATCCTCAAACCACCTCCACCCCTGGGTCTGTAGAAAAATTGTCTTCCACAAAACCAGTCCCTGGTGCCAAAAAGGTTGTGGACTGCTGAGCTAGAACAAGCCATGCTGTCATGGATAACAGTTGGGTATCAGGGCTGGGCACGGTGGCTCACACCTGTAATCCTAGCACTTTGGGAGGCCGAGGTGGGTGGATCACCAGAGGTCAGGAGTTCAAGACCAGCCTACCCAACATGGTGAAACTCCATCTCTACTAAAAATACAAAAATTCACCAGGCGTGGTAGTGAGCACCTGTAATCCCAGCTACTCAGGATGCTGAGGCAAGAGAATCGCTTGAACCCAGAAGGTGGAGATTGCAGTAAGCCAAGATTGCACCACTGCACTCCAGCCCAGGCAACAGTGCAAGACTCTGTCTCAAAAAAAACCCAACAAACAAACAAACCTGGGAGGCCAAGGCAGGCAGATCATGAGGTCACGAGTTCAAGACTACCCTGGCCAACATAGTGAGACTCCGTCTCTACTAAAACTATAAAAAATTAGCCAGGCGTGATGGTAGGCAGCTGTAATCCCAGCTACTCAGGAGGCTGAGCCAAGGGAATCACTTGAACCCAGGAGGCGGAGGTTGCAGTGAGCCAAAATTGCACCACTGCACTCCAGCCCAGGCAACAGTGCAAGACTCTGTCTCAAAAAAAAAAAAAAAAAAAAAGCCATGAGTTCACCAATAGAAATAAATGACTCTATAAGCAAAAAATAAATAGAAGAACAGACAAATTTCCCACAGAGAAGAACTCCATATAATTTGCATTAGATACTCTGCCTTTAAGCATGGAGCATAATTCCACACTCCTTAAATGTGTGCCGTACATAATGACTTTATTCCAAAGTACAGTGTGGAAAGTACAGGAGGAAAAGTAACTCTACACTGGAAAGGCCTGACTATAACCTCAAGTCAAGTGGCCCAGGTTAATAGACATCAACAATGATAACTCATACTGATAGTATGTACCCTTGACATGATGTGATAAGAATAGCACTTTACCTCCATGGTTGGATTAGTCCAGTTTCATACCACTTTGAAGAAATACCCAACACTAGGTAATTTATAAAGAAAAAGAAGTTTAATGGACTCAGTTCCACATGGCTGGGGAGGCCTCACAATCATGGCAAAAGGCAAAGAAGGAGCTAAGGCACATCTTATGTGGCGGCAGGCAAGGGAGTGTGTGCAGGGGAATTCCCCTTTATGAAACCATCAGATCTTCTGAGACTTATTCACTATTAGGAGAATAGCATGGGAAAAACCCACCCCCATGATTCAATGACCTCCCACTGGGTCCTTCCCACCACATGTGGGGATTATGGGAGCTACAATTCAAGATGAGATTTGGGTGGGGTTATAGCTGAACCGTATCAGTGGTCTTCCTCCCCTAAAACCCATTACCCTGATCTACTCATGTCAAAAACAGACAAATCCTAATTAAAGGTCCTTCTGCAAAACATTTGACCAGTCAGTAATCTTCAAAACTCTCAAGTTTGGGCCGGGCGCGGTGGCTCACACCTGTAATCCCAGCACTTTGGGAGGCCGAGGCAGGTAGATCACGAGGTCAAGAGATGGAGACCATCCTGATCAACATAGTGAAACCCTGTCTCTACTAAAAATACAAAAAATTAGCTGGGCATGGTGGCTCGTGCCTGTAATCCCAGCTACTCAGGAGGCTGAAGCAAGAGAACTGCCTGAACCCAGGAGGCGGAGGTTGCGGTGAGCCGAGATCGCACCATTGCACTCCAGCCTGGGTAACAAGAGTGAAACTCCGTCTCAAAAAAAAAACTCTCAAGTTCACCTACAACAAAGCAAGTCTGAGAAACCATCACAGAGAAGAGGAGCCTAAGGAGATATAATGACTAAATGTAGTAGGGTACCCTGGACAATACTGGAACAGGAAAAGGACATTAGAGAAAAACTAAGGAAAAATGAATAAATTACAGATTAGAGTTAATAATAATGTATCAATATTGGTTCAGTAATTGTGACAAATGTACTATACTAATGTAAGACATTAATAATAGGGGAAACTCACTGAAGTATCTTTGCAATAACTTTGTAAATCTAAAATTATTCTAAAACAAAATGGTATTGGAGGAAAAAAGAATGGGTCAACATTTCAAAACAAATAACCATGGAGACAAGTATAGCTCTCAGGACTTGGCAAATACTAACTAAATCTTCTCTTAAGACTGAAAAACTCATTTCACAACTGCCATAGGCCTTACCATCTCCCAGTGTTGTGTGCTGTGACAGTAGGGCATTCTTGGCTTCTAATAAAATAACTTTAAATTCTGTTGTGAAATTCAACTGAAACAGACTGGGGGATAGAAACCAGTGTCAGAAGGTATTGCCTTAGGCTGGGCACAGTGGCTCATGCCAGTAGTCTCAAACACTTTGGGAGGTTCAGGCAGGAGGATATCTTGCCTCCTGGAGTTCAAGACCAACGAGGCAACATAGTGAGACTCCATCTCTATTTGAACTTTTATTTTTTTAATTAAAAAGAAAAAAAGCCAGGTGTGGAGGCTCACACCTATAATCCCAACGCTTTGGGAGGCTGAGGCCGGGTGGATCACCTGAGGTCAGGAGTTCAAGACCAGCCTGGCCAACACGGTGGGATCCTGTCTCTACTAAAGATACAAAAATTACTCAGGCCTGTAATCCCAGCACTTTGGGAAGCCAAGGCGGGCGGATCACGAGGTCAGAAGATCAAGACCACCCTGGCCAACATGGTGAAATCCCGTCTCTACTAAAATACTAAAAAAAAAAAAAAAAAAAAAAAATTAGCCAGGCATGGTACTGTGCACCTGTAGTCCCAGCTACTCAGGAGGATGAGGCAGGGGAATCCCTTGAACCCAGGAGGCGAAGGCTGCAGTGAGCCTGGATCGCGCCACTGCACTCCAGCCTGGTGACAGAGGGAGACTCCATCTCAAAAACAAACAAACAAAAAGTACAAAAATTAGCCAGGTGTGGTGGCACAGGTCTGTAATCCCAGCTACTCGGGAAGTTGAGGCAGGAGAATCGATTGAACCCCGAAGGCGGAGGTTGCAGTGAGCCGAGATCGTCACTGCACTCCAACTTGGGCAATACAGTGGGACTATGACTCTAAATAAATAAATAAATAAAATGGCTTTAAAAGAAAGAAAATAAGTTACCGCTTTATAGCAATGGGCTGTATAGCCCGGCCGGTCCCATTATAACAAATTCCTAAGAACTGCACAAAACTAGATTAGCAAAACTAAGCCACCTCTCAGAGCAAAGTCACAATGGGTAGCCAGCCGGTGGGCTGAAACTGGTGTGCAGATGCCCTGCAAAATATAATTATTAATCTAAACGTGTTGCCGGGCGCGGTGGCTCAAGCCTGTAATCCCAGCACTTTGGGAGGCCGAGGCGGGTGGATCACGAGGTCGAGAGATCGAGACCATCCTGGTCAACATGGTGAAACCCCGTCTCTACTAAAAATACAAAAAATTAGCTGGGCATGGTGGCGTGTGCCTGTAATCTCAGCTACTCAGGAGGCTGAGGCAGGAGAATTGCCTGAACCCAGGAGGTGGAGGTTGCGGTGAGCCGAGATCATGCCATTGCACTCCAGCCTGGGTAACAAGAGCAAAACTCCGTCTCAAAAAAGAAAAAAAAAAAAAAAAAATCTAAACGTGTTGTCACCATTTTAAAAGTGTTTCTCATATTCATTTCCCGAGAATTTTAAGAGAATTCATTTTAGGAATTCTCCTAAAAAGAATTCTTCCAACAAGCATGCGCTGTGCACCAACTAAGAGCTTTACATTCACTACCTCGTTTCACCCGCAGAACAAGAGTGCATGTCCATTTCAGAGAACGAAACTGAGAGCCAGAGAGAAACCGTGACTTGCCCACGGTAACACAGCCATACTGATTCGAACCCTAGCCAGACAAACTCTGGAGCTCAGGCTCCTCCTACTGTTCCACTCGTGGGAGGAAAGGCCGGGACCAGGCCATGAGGAGCCCAGGGTTCTGGCCCAGGCTCCGCACGAAAGCGCTGGGATGCACCAGGCCATGCCCTCCGCCTCCCTGGGGCTCAAATTCCCCTCCGGAAGTAACTTTCGAACGAGCGCCACGGGAACTTGTTCAGGACCAGAGCGGAGCGACACCCAGGTCCGCAGAGTGGCGCCGCGGGGCACAGATCGACCTGGGCCACGCCGAGCCGGGCTCTCTTTCGGTTCCCGCCGCATCCCGAACCCCGCCCCGCCGCGAAGCAGCGGCACTCACCTCCCCCGCCACCGCGTCGCTCCCCCGGAAGTAGTTCCCCGCGACCCTGGATCCCGGAAGTGACGCGTTTTGAGCAACCCCCGGGCTCACTTCCGCCCGCGTCTCCAGGGTTGTGGCGTAAGCCACTGCTGGGCTTTGTTCCTGCTGTGTGGGTTTGAAGGGGGATAGAGGTTTGGGGAAGCGAAACCCAGAGCCTGTCAGTTCTTTAAGCTCTTGTATCACTAAGCTGAATTTAAAAGAAAACAAAAGTTACTTCTAGGGACCGGGGGGCAGTGGCTCACGCCTGTAATCCCAATACTTTGGGAGGGCGAGGCGAACGGATCACTTGAGATCAGTAGTTCGAGACCAGCCTGGTCAACATGGTGAAACCCCGTCTCTACCAAAAAGTACAAAAATTAGCCGGATGTGGTGGCGGGCGCCTGTAATCCCAGCTACATGGGAGGCTGAGGCAAGAGTCGCTTGATCCTTGGAGGCGGAGGTTGCAGAGAGCTGAGATCGCTCCACTACACTCCAGCCTGGGCGACAGAATGGGACTCCGTATCAAAAAGAAAAAAAAAAGAACGTACTTTTTCATAGCAATGGGCTGTTCAGCCTGGCCCGTCCCATTGTAACAAATTCCTAAGAACTGTGCGAAACTAGATTAGAATTATGTCCTATGCAAAGCTAAGCCATCTCCCAGAGCAGAGCAAAGTCACAACTAGTAGATGGTGGGTTGAAACGTGTGTGCAGATGTCCTGCAAAATATTAATCTGGATGTGTTGTCACCATTTCAAAAGTGTTTCTCACATTCATTTCCTTAATTTTATGCCACGTCCTGAGGTAGGAGCCTACAATGCAGAGGCGAGACAAACAGAAACGCCTCTTGTAATTCAGACAGAAGCAAATCATTATAATTTATTCAAAAGGCATTCACCCAGCGCCTACTCTATGCTTTCTGCTGGTAACTGAGGGCACAGTGCTGAACCAAACACTACAACCTCTGCCCTCGTGGTGCTTACAGTCTGTTGGAGGGAGACAGACTAAATGAATATGTAATCATATAACAGGATAAATGTTTTGAAGGCAAAGAACAGTGTTCCGTGATTAAGAAGGGGTAGGGGGCAAGTAGTAGGAGAAAAAGAAACCTAAACGAGAGTGTGATAACCAGCCTCCACCATAAACCCCGACAGTTCTGGACTCCTGGTATCCATGCCCCTCTGTAGTCACCTCCTACCATGAATAGGACTGACCTGTATAACCCATAGAATATTGCGGAAATCCTGGAGCACAAGTTCCAAAATAAAGTCGTAAAAGACACTGCAACTTCCTCTTTGCTCTGTCTTGATCACTACTGGGCCATCCATGTTGTGAGGACACTCAAGCAGTCCTATGGAGAGACTCACATGAGTAGTAACTGAGCTGCCTGCAAACAACCAGCTCCAACTTGCCAGCCGTGTGTATGAGCCAAGTGGCTCCAGCAGTCCTGGAGAAGCTTTCAAATGACTGTGGCCTGGCCAAAATCTTCAATATGAACTCAAGAGCAACCCGGAGCCAGAAACACCTGGCAATGTCACTTGAATGCCTTCCTCACAGAAATTGTGAAATACTAACTATTACTGTTTTAAGCTCCTAAGTTTTAGGATAATTGATTATGCAGCCTAGATAACATACATAGAGAATCAAGGAGCAGAGGCTGGATACCACAGACTCAAAAGAAAACAATAAATAAAGAGAGAGCTAGACCTATTTTGCCTTAAAGGAATTCACTCTCTTGGAAGTCAAAGACAGAAATAATTCACTCAGTATTCACTAATCCCATACCATGTGGGGTGGCATGGGGGACCCAAAATGCATAATTTATTTAACAAATATTGATGGAGTTTCTACTCTGGATCGTGCACTGTGAGACTGGGAAAACAATGGTGAGTAGGTGGGTCCGTACCCTCTCTGCGCTTATAGACTAGGGGTCAGTGTCTGTCACCCCCACTAATTAATCACAGATAAATGTACACTTAAAAACCATGAGATATATTGGGAAGGAAGGGGGAGCCATGAGAGATACAATAACTTGGGAGATACAATCAAGAGAGGTGATCAGGAGAGGTGTCTCTGAGGATTGAATTTCTGGTAAGAAATGAAGAATGAGGCCAGGAGTGGTGGCTCACATCTGTAAGCCCACACTTTGGGAAGCAAAGGTGGGTGGATTGCTTGAGCCCAGGAGCTTGAGATCAGTCTGGGCAACATGGATGAAACCCTGTCTCTACTAAAAATACAAAAATTAGCCAGGCATGGTGGTGTGCACCTCAGCTGCTTGGGAGGTTGAGGCAGGAGAATCACTTGAACCTGGGAGGTGGAGATTGTAGTGAGCTGAGATCGCACCACTTGCATTCCAGCCTGGGCAACAAAGCAAGACTCCGTCTCAAAAAAAAAAATTTTTTTTTAAACATTGCAGAAGAATTTGCCAGGTGAAAAGAAGGAGGAAAAAGCATGATCGGTGTTGGAATGGTTGGGTAGTGAGAAACAGCTTGGAGCATAAGAATAGCTGAGGGGGTGATGCTAAGGCTGCAGGGCGCAGGTGTTTAGGACAGGACTTGGTATTTGCCCTGGAGAGACTCACTGCAGGGTGCGAGTGAGGAGAGTGTTTTCTGGGTTGAATTGTGTCCCTCTGAAAAGCTGTGTTTGAGCCCTAATCCCCAGTTCCTTGTAACAGGATCTTATTTGGAGATAGGATCTTTACCAACGTAATATTTTTAATTTTTCATTTTAAAATTTTGGTCCAGGCACGGTGGCTCACACCTGTAATCCCAGCACTTTGGGAAGCCAAGGCAGGCAGATCACTTGAGGTCAGGAGTTCAAGACCAGCCTGGCCAAAATGGTGAAACCCTGTCTCTACTAAAGTATAAAAATTAGCCAGGCATGGTGGTACGCGCCTGTAATCCCAGCTACTCGGGAGGCTGATGCAGAAGAATCACTTGAACCCAGGAGGCAGAGGTAGCAATGAGCCAAGATGGCACCACTGCACTCCAAACTAGGCAACAGAGCAAAATTCCACCTCAAATAAAAATAAAAATAAGAATAAAATAAAATAACATTTTTTGAACAAAGAAGCTATCTTAGAAGTGGATTATATGGACCCAGGCACCTCAGCAGACACTGTATGGAGCAGAGATGGGCCGAGGAGATGGAGCCCTTCTTAAGAGTAATGGAAGAGAATATCGAGATCAGAGAAGGTGAACCCCGCTGGTATTTGTCACTTGGGCTGCCCAGTGTCTGAGCCCCCATTTGTGGAAATCCCAAGAAGCAGGGAGATGATGGCAGATGAATGGGGTGGATACGCTCCCCTCAATTTCTGCTGGAGCATGGATGCTGGACCCAACCATGACCAGCCAGAAGCTCCACCCCAGACTCTGAATCCAGAGACAGAAAGGCCAGCTGGAGGAGTCAATAAGAAACAGGGGTGAGACCAGAGTCCAGGGCCTTGTTCAGAGCAGGTGGCTCTCAGTGCAAGATCCTGGTCACACATGACTTGGGTGGTTCCTGCCTGTGCCAGGTATCACATCACAATGTTCCCAGCAACTCCTCTCACCTTACACTCAGCTCCAGCACGAAGCCGAGAATGCTGAGGATGGTGGATCCCGGTGGGTCCCGCCGAACCCCGAATGCAGGACCACAAGGTAGGGCCTCTCTCCTCAGGCAGTGGGGACATTCTCCATGTGCCAGAAAGGCCAGCGACTGGTTCATCTTGGAGCCAGTGAGGCCCAGGCAGCAGTGGAGACTCACCACATTCCAGACTCATTCTCTGGGCCTCCAGGAGGCTCATAGCAGATAAGCAACTTCGATTGTTTAGGGTCTGCTCTCCTCCTGCTTTCTACAAGGTATGGACTTGGGTGGATTCCACACTCAGATATCTGTAAATCCACAGGGCTCAGGTCTGCTGCAAAGAAGGATAGGCTCAGGTTTCCATGCTGGGCTCATGAGCCTATCCTTCTTTAGAAGGGCATCAAACAGAATTTCCATCAGAAAAGGGCATCGAACAGAATTTAGAGAGGGCATTGAGCAGAATTTCCATCAGAAGCTCGATCACATGTCAAAACCATGCAGGGTCTACCCTTCCCAGGAAAATCCAAACACCTTGATCTGCTCTTGAGACCCAAGATTTCCCATGGTTCTGAAACCTAAAAAGCTTCATTCAGCAGATATTTGTTGAGCACCAACTGTAGGTCAGAAAAATCCTAGGGACAATATCTTGGGCTCTGCATGGGGAAATGGGCATAGAAACAAACTAAGACAGCAGGATATGGTGAGAAGTGTGTGCAGTGATAGGAAGTCCCAGACATCAGACTCTGTCTTGGTGATCAGGGAAGACCTCCTAGAATGAGTGGCTTTCAGGGTCCAGCAGAAGGGTACAGCACCAGCAAAGGCTCATACCGGGGCTTACGCTCCCAGTGCCCCTCCAAGGAGAGACTCCAGAACTCTCTAAAGCGCTTCAGTGCTAGAGGCAACACAAAGCTCACCCACATCCAGCATCTGGACGGTTTTAATTACCTTCACATTTACTAAGTGCCCCGTTGTACTTAGCTCTGACTGACAGCGCAGTGGATGCCCTGGGTTAAATCCACACTGAATGTCCAATCATACACAGCACAAGCAGAATCATATTCAGCGGGGATTAGTTCACTTGTTCCAGGAAGGCACTTTTCCAGTTGAATAACAATGATGCCTTTTAATTATGGTGTTTTCCTCTTGAGAGACCTTAAGCCAGACCAGCGCTCCCAGAGGGAGACAGAAACGGGGTGTCATCGTCTCCATTTTGTAGTCGGATGAACTCAGTAAAGAAATCTGGCCCTGGCCACATAAGCTGGAATCTTACTCCTCCTTCAGGGCCCAGCTCAAATTACCTCCACCTTGAACATTCTTCGGTTCCTTCATCAGAATTTCCAGGCAGCATATGACGTTGGAAGAAGCTCTGGCTTAGGAAAAATGGCTGAGGCCCTGTGTTGGATACCTAACTGCATTCGCTCACCTGATCCTCCCAGCAATCCCAAGGGAGCATTTCCATGTCACAGCTAAGGAGACGG